TGAGTTTTACTTTTAGCAGGAGTCGTTGTATCAAATATTATGGGTGCGTATACACTCCATTTTGAAAAATTGTATCTACTTAAAGTTCAGTGATTTAGTCGAAAACGAAAGAGGACTAATCATCAATCATTCAAAAGTGAAATGCGATGGTGCTTTTAAAGTATGTGCAAAGCTTCATAAAAAGAAAATTGATCGGCGTAGGATATAGGATTAGTTGGAAGAATATTAATTAAGTGTATCTTATACTGGAAAAAATAAAATAAAACTTTGTAGAGATACTTTGGAACATATATTTTGATAATAAAGGAATAAAGCTTAAACCGTACAATCACGGAAATAATAATCAGTGTTTAGTTATTATGTTTCATGAGATGGATAACACTTCAATTAAGAATAAGCATATCATCTTTTTCACTTTTAATATAAAAAGTAACAATTATATATTTTAATATTTGCGTTTGTCTCCATGAATTTTAAAACATTAAAATCAAAATCTTGTAAATAAGTAGGTAAAAAAAACCCCCGAAAATCAAACTCGTGTAAGTATGATCATGACAATGTTGGAATTATGTGTAAGTACTAGTAGTAATTAGAACTAATTGGCCTTATACATTGACCTTTTCGCTCTCATTGTAGGTTAGCTTCAAAGGAAAAAATAAATTGAAAACGGTCAAAAAAATATGAAAAAGATTACATAGTTTATTAACAAACTAATTACATAAATGCTCATATATATATATTTACTAACGTAAAATTATATTAGTGGAATAAGGAGCATGCTGAGGAAAATGTTTTCAGGTTGGATTATATAACAACAGGCATGGTCATTTACTTTTTTTGTAACTTAAAAGAAAAAAAAAATCATTAGTAAAGTTTTTTTTTCCAATTTAATTTTTCTTTTTGTTCTTGATAAAGATTCCGTGTAATCACAAATACTTTTCAAAGGTTTCGAAGAGAGGAATAATCCTAACATGCCTTTGTCTATTTTCCCAAATATTCAATGGACCAGCTATCTTCTCCTCCTCCTTCTTTCGCTTTCATGTGCTTTTTTTTTTGTTGAACATTTGTGCTTTTTCTTTTTTTATCCCATAATTTGGTAAATTGAAATATTATATGTACATTTCTATTCATGGTACAACAAGTTGGAAATTTGGAATCATAGTTTCCTTTTTTTCTTTTCTTTCTTGGAATATATTAAAGGTGTTGTGAATATGTTTCAAGGAAAATAGAAGTTGTAAAACAAAAGTCAATGTAAAACTAGCGAAGAAAGAGAGAAAATCGCGGCATGTAAAACGACATCGATTTTAATTATTTTTGGTTTTAACTGACGAGGTTTTCCCAAAATTTTTTTGATTAGATTAGACAACAGATCTTATTGGGCTATGAGGCCCATAGTGGAATCCAAAGAACTCGAGAAGCGCGCTCTTCTACAACGGCAAACGAAAGTTATTCTATACCTTAGTTCACAAGAAACTAAGTGTAATTGTTTTGAAGAAACTGATACAAATTTCTCAAGTTTGATGATAATTTAGGCGATTTAGGAAATTATAGATTCATATTTTTCGTGTTTTAATGATGAGTAATTGTTTCTTAAGTTTAAGTGTCCCTAGGAGCAGTGAATATCGGTTGTTTGTCTATGTGATATCTCTCGCTTGTTATGTTCAATTTTGATGGGATTTGTCAGACTATGTGGTTCAGTAATCTGAATAAAAACTGTGATTAAGACTGGGCACTAGGGTATGATGTGGCGTATAACTTAAGTACGTAGAACATTGAGGGGGTGGTTTGTGTGCCATGATGATAAATAAGAGATATAATAGGATCTTGGTAACTGTAGTTAAAATAAAGTAGTAACAAGTAGTGGGAAAGTGTAAAATTAAGTTTGTAAGAAAAGTGCATTAAAAATCTGGTGATTTAATCCTAATTATGCGATGTGAATGTATCGTTAGCAATGTTGACAATAATGTATATGGAAATTGTGCCCATCCTTAAATTTTACACGTTGTTCTTATAAATTACTAGACTTAAAAAGTATCATTAGATATTTGTGTCTTAAGTTTTGAAAACTGACTTAAAACCTGATGGCTGTAGCCTGTAAATTGTCATTTCAGTTTACTTGTTTCATCCAAAGAAAAGATAGTAATAACCGATAGGGCTTCGTTAAAGCATGAGGCCATTTGAGCCCATTAGTGAATCTGAATGAGGTTGCTTCAAAGATCGATTGGAGTTACAAACTGATGATTTCTTTTCTTTTCTCAATAATATTATATATCTTCTATATTCAATTATTCATCAAAGAAAACAGTTCTACAAGTTCATTAACTAAGATCTCCGATCACAGTTTGTTTAGTCTTCAGACGCAAATCTACTAAATTTAGTTCTTCCTTAATAGGGAACTGCATTTAATAGTACTCTTTAAGTCAAGACTATGAGAATTGAGTTAACAAAAAAAAAAAAAAAACTATCTATGAGAATAGCGTGTAGAAACTAGGATTAGATCACCGGATCTTTTATGCACTTTTCTTAGAAACGTAATTGTATTTCCACTACTTATTTGCTTACGATTAGCCAAAATCACCTTCCTTAGCTCGCCTAGTTAACCCATTTAAAGAACATGGCTTATTAGTAGAAATAACAATATAAACAAAAAAGACGACTCGTTCGCATAATATAAGATGTGTATGTGCGAAAATAGCTTTTTAGAGCAATGCTTTAATCAAAAAAGCTTTGTTTTTATTTTAAGTGATGTTTCAAATTTGCAGTACAATTTTTCGAATTTATTTTTATGACATTGACTGAATTTTAATAAATGATGTTTTCTGTATTTTTAATTAACAAAAATCAAAATCAAAATCAAAAACCAGTTTAATATATCTGCAAAATCCTTTAAAAAAACACTTAAAAGTAAGTAGAAGGAGTAATTAATAACTTGGAAAAAACTTATTATCTATAATCTATTAATTACGTAAATTCTTGTCAACTCAAACGAAACATGAACATATATCTTCTTATGATACACAAACATTTAAATTGTTCAATGCAAGAAGAGGGAAATATAGTCTCTTAACCGCAAGATTATAGATGCCTCACGCTCTCTTTGTAAAATAGTAAGCGATTTTTATTGCAACCAATGATCGAATATATAGTTAGTCGAGACTACCCATTATAATGATTTATTCCACGAAGATGTTAAGATTATATGATGAGCATGAAGTCAACGGTAAAATCAAAACCAGAATTATTGATTGCAAGAATAGAAGAACCGATGAGAAGAGTCGATTCCTCTATCTTTGTACCGATAATTCTGGTTCGAATTTGTCATCTTCGGGGATCATTATAGTCGGTAGTCTTGGTTGACTATGATTCGACATTGTTTGCTATAAAGATCGCTGACCCATTCTTCAGAGGGGGCGTGAGCCAATGTATCTATAATTTTGCTGCTCGTGTCCTCCATGGTGTTGGAGACAACGTTGATTATTGAGGTGGTGGAGAGAAGTAGAAGTAATCGGAGACTCATCAGTCTAAGAATAAAAGAAAAGAGTTTTGTTCTTAGGAGTTGGGAAATTGCGATTTGTTTAACTGCATCTATGTGTAATTTATAGATCCAAATAATGATAATAAGGTGTGAAATTTAGGGGGTGGGTGAAAGTGTGAAGAGAGAAAGCACAAAAATTTTATGATTTCGAAAGCACGGAAAACAAATGTATAAGCTATAGTCTGATTGTATATAATTTGTTTTTTTAACATCCCACTTCATGCTATTTTGAACAAAGCAGCTGCAACAACACAAAATTGGTGGTATCTTTTTCCACATGAGTCCACGTTTAAAAAACAAACTAAATATCACTTTTAAAAAGAAAAAAATGGAGAGGATTGTTATTGTCCTAATATGATTCATTTTATGGATATAAGTTTTATGTTGCTCTTAATGCAAAAACAGAGGGTGAGCTGTTTTGTTCTTATCTTTTCTGCATACTAACATGTTTTGGAAAGATACAATCTAACAAAGATTGTATTTGAAATAAACAAAACACTGAAGTAAATGTGATCATATAGTATATAATATGATTTGTGCTCAGGCGAAGTTTACATATAAAGGTGTGGGTGCAAGTGCACGCGTATTAATATATCAATTTAAAACGTTACATTATATTGTTAATTTTAAATGGCTTATATGCACCGAATGGTAACCGCAATAGCAATTTAACTCTACATTTAGAAGAGCAGAGTCTGTTTCGAACTTGAATTTATGAAAATGCAGCAAAAGTGGGACCACTGTTCTCCTAGTTGTTTGTTTCCTCCAAGAGCTAAAACTCGTATATAGCTTAGATAAGTACAATTAAAGCTCAATAATAGTAATATAACTATAGAGAACTATGCCTAAAACAAAAACTTGAAAAGTAGGATAAATAAGAGTCTATGCCTATAAAAAAAAACTTGAAAAGCGTGAATTGTCTTTGAGAATTGATTTATATATGATGTTTATAGATCGATTTATTTTCAAAGAAGCTGGTCATAAAAGTAGATGTACCCTCTAGATCGTGATATTTAAAGTTAAAACAAATAATACAGCCAACCAAAAACTATAAATACACACCTTAACTCATAAAGTTTACGTGATGAATGAATCACAATTATAACAAAACAGATTCTGTAACCAAAACTGCCCAAAAAGATTATTTCCAACAAGCCTTAAGTATTTTAACTTTAAGATTCTTTATATTTCATTCAAGTGTCCGTCTTAGCGTAATCGATCCGACTAAAATCAAGAAGTGTGCCAAATCCAGTCACAATCCATTTAAGTCATCTGAATAGGTAGCTTCTTATACAAGCTATTTGTACTACGAAATAGAAACTAATTAACCGTGTGCAATAAATTGATTTCATGGGATCAAGTATGCTAAACATTATTCTCAGGAATTAAAAAAAAAAAAAAAAAAGAAGAAGCAAAGAATCAACCAGATACCCTAGAAAACCTAAATAAATATAATAACAATTACTTAAATAAAAGGACGACGACGACTCAGGCTACGCATCATGTAGGTGAGGAGATTTGTAGCTTCAATTTGAGGACAAGTATCAACTTGGTTTGGCCACAACACATCTATCTTTTTAACCAGTTTACGATATGGCTTCCACTTATTCCATTGCCCAGCATAAGCTTGAGCTTTCCCTTGTAGGAAAAAGGATCTGTCGAGATCAGCTTGGGCTCGGCTTTCACAGAAAGAAGAAAAGTCGACATGACCTTCGTTGTTGGTGTTTGGCCAAATAGGGTATTTCTCGTCTGCTTCACGTTGCCATCCTTCAATCATCTGTTTGAAAAAACTGGAATAGTCATTGTTTAACATACCTACATCAGTCTCCATCTAGATCTGGTGTGTGTTCTGCAATGGAAGATCCAACCAGTAAGAACATGATGAAGAGTTTTATGGCGAGAGACATCGGCCGAGACATCAAGTAGGGCTTAGTTTTTTGCCTTTCTTAAATTGTGTTTTCCTTCTAATTTCTGATCAATGCTGCGTTATACTTATAATCAAGACAGAAGTCTCCACTCCTTTTTTCTCTTGAGATTAGGGTTAAATATCATAAATAAGCGTAATTAAATTAATACTTTTAACAGGATATATACTAATAAACAAAAAACGATATAGCCAAAGCATATACGAAGAGTATATTCTTCCCTAAATATCTGGGACTTGTTGTTATTATCTACTTTAAAAGCCCTCGATATATATATTTTTTAAAATGACTCAGATTATCAGAATTCTAAGACAAACAGAATCAAGGAATTGAATTATCCAAAAGTTAAAACCCTAATCCCAATTAAAAAAGAAGTCGCCAAGCTTCTATATATATATATATATAAACACATACTTATATCATCAGGCTTAAACTTTAAGAAGAAGAAAAAACCAATTAATTGATCTCTCAAACAATGTCACTGGCCATAAAATTCCTCATTCTCTTCCTATTGGTTGAATCATCGGCTGCAAAATATATGCATAATCCTGAACCCGACCAAAAAGAAAACTATCAAACAGAGATTGACTATTTCAAGATTTTCAGAGAGATAATTGCAGGATGGCAACGAGAAGCAGACGAGAAATACTCACACTTCGGGAATCTACCAATTACATGAACCGATCATTATTCCTACAAGATAGAGTTCAAGGTTATGTTGAGATTTGGGGCGAGTGGAAGAATCATACGGGCTACCCATACGTTGACTTGCAGAACAAGATTCATGGTAACTTGTGGCCAACGCTGAAAGATTATTGTCGTCAGTATGAGAGTACATAATTTTTGATGTATCTTATATATGGTCTTAGTGCAGAAGCTGGCATGGTCTAATTAAATTATTTAGTTTGTTTGTTTTCTGTTTTGGAAGCGTTTTTTTTTTTAACATTGATTATAACTTTTATTGAATATAATAAGTCACCAATAGGTTATTACAATGAGGGATCAGCTAAAAAGCTATGATGATTATAAGATTTCTTACAAATATTTTCAAAGAATTTGAAAAAATATTTAGAACAGATTTTCAAATCTTCTTGTCCTCACTTGGTAATGAGTAGACTTTGGCAATTATGAAATATGCTTCTTGAATTGACATGACGGAGCTTCTATTGAAGTGGTTTAAAACCGTAAAGATGTTGTAACCAATATTGTCGACAGAAAACGACATAGATCCGGTACTGTGAAGACAAAAGCAAATACAGATCTCAACCAGATCTGGTTGTAATTTCTAGTGGAGGAGACTAACCTGAGTCGTCCAAACTCAACACCAAGCCAAACACATACGTTGTAGAAGGCAGCAGATAGAACCGACAAAAGCCAAGGAAAACACCGATGAAAAAGAAGGAGAAACCAAGAATCAATAAAAAAAACTTTTTCAGATCCAAAAAGAAAAAAAAAACCAACCAAAACAAAGGAAAATAATATGGAAAACTAACAAAATAAATCATCTGACCGATGGCGGAGCTAAAGAAGCATCCAACTATCGGCCAGGAACCCTAAAAAAAACTTCTCTCTAGACGGTTAGAGCGAGCTGTTTTGGAAGCGTTTTTGTTTTCAATTTTTTCTGTCTTGGGTTTTTTTTAATTTGATTTTCGTGTTGGTTTTTTTAATAACATATTTTACGAATATCTTTTGGAAATAGACGATCTATCAAATATCATATCTGAAGAAAGAAAACTCTGTATGATTGTTGGTGCGATCGATTTGTGAAGGAACCTTAGTTGAGTAGGATTGTTGAATACAAAGTTCGGCCGGTTCTTCTTTTAGAAAGACCTGTATTCTCATTCAGATTCACTAATGGCCCGATGGGCCTCATTCTTCAACAAAGCCCTATTGCTCTTTGGTTTTTTAGTAGCTCAGCAGGATGAATGTTTTGAAAGTTGATTTTCCTAATTAAAAGTTCAAATAATAAGATGTTGTAGTTGGGAACAATCGTTTTGGGCAGTTTTGGTTAGAGACGGTTTGATTCATTGCGGTTACCTGTGTAACATCGAAACGCGGAATTATGTGATGTATGTAGATTAAAGGCTTGTTTTTACTGGGCTTCATTCATCACGTAAACTTTATGAGTTGAGGTGTGTACTTATAGTTTTTTGTTGGCTGTGTTATTTGTTTTAACCAATCATATCTTTAAATGTCACGATCTAGAGGTACATCTACTTTTTGACCAGTTTCTTTCAAAACAAATCAATCTATAAACATCATATATAAAAATCAATTCTGAAATACAATTCATGCTTTTCAAGTTTTTGCTGTAGGCAGAGACTCTTGTTTATCCTACTTTTCAAGTTTTTATTTTAGGCATAATAGTTATATTCCTACTATCGAGTTTTAATTTTACTTATACAAGCTATAAGCGAGTTTAAGATCTTGGAGGAAACAAACAACTAGGAGGACAGTGGTCCCACTTTTGCTGCATTTTCATGAATTTAAGTTCGAAACTGACTCTGCTCTTCTTAATGTGGAGTTTAATTGACATTGGCAGTGAAAACAGAAATGATTTCAATATGGAATAGTTTCACTGGATGACAATGAAGATGATTAATGTTGTATTAGTTTGTTGCATTTGTTATTGCAATTTCCAAAAAAAATTAGTTATCACACTTGCCGTTTTTAACAATATGTAAATGATTGTTATAACATCGATCGCATCGCAGCATTTCAGGGAGAGTTAACAAGTATTTTTCTCGTTATATCATTTTCTTGACATCTTGATTAAAATCAACGAAATAGTGATTAATTCTGCCTAGTGCTATTTACTAGTTGCTGATACGTTAAAATACAGAAGTTTGAGTTAATAATTTTATATATACAGCTTCCCGATTCTTTCATTTTTGGGATTAGGGTTTTTGAATTTTGACTATATCTTTTTGTGTATTGCTTATTTATTAAGAAATAGATAGAAACTAATTTTACAGGGATTGAGAGGAATTTTTACGTTGGTGTTGCACATGTGAATAAATAATACAACAAACAAAACATACGAAATGAAAAGAACAAAAAAAAATGAATTTCATGAGGGAAAAAAACAAACAATTTTCGACTCCTAATTTGCAAAAGACACATTCATTATTTGAGCTTATATAGTTAGATGCTCATTCTCGATTCCCAAGAAACAAGAACATTCTCTCTATTTTTTCTTGAAACTGACTCTCTGTTTTCACAAACATGGGTTTTGGTATAACTTCATCTTCTTCGGTTATAGGTCTTCTCCTTCTCTCCACCATCACGTTGGCACTAGCCGTGGACGTCAGCTCTCGTTCGGCGGAAGACACGGCGCAGGAGATCATCTCTTCCCTAGCGCACGCCAAATATCAAGAATGGTCTGCCGCCTTTATCTCCACCAACGACAAGATTCGCGGGGGTGTTTTACCGGCTACCCTCTTCGTTCCTGCTGCTGCAACTGACGAATACAATGGTGATCGACGAGTTGCTGCGTACCGTGTCGTGCCGGAAAAGATGGTGTTTTCCGATCTCCTCGCCAAGACAAATCAAAGTCGGATTCGTACTCTTCTTGGAGGATTTTCGATCCTGCTTTACAACACATCTAAAGGTGGTTTAACTCTTGATGGCGTGAGCATAACGGAGCCTGACATGTACGTCGATTCTTTCAAGGCGATTCACCGGATTGCACATCCTCTTCATTTCACCACTCCCGAGGACCCGAAGGTTAAATCAGAAGTGCCAGTTTTAGCATTTGTCCTCGTTACTGTGGTCGTTTGCACCATTTCCTGGATATGTATCACCCGCCGTTAGGTTCTTGTTTCTTTCGGAATTATATTTTTCCATCTTTTGTTATTCCCAAAAACCCCAAGTTGGATCTTAGTTACTTCAATATTTCGAATTGCTATGTAATTTCCAATGTATGGTTAAACCGTTTTAGCTTTGAAGTTTCGAATAGACGAACGATCTCTACAAAATATATATGTCAATGCTATAATCACTAAACCAAATACCAACAAAACTTCTGCTACAATCACTAGACCAAATACCAACTAAAATGAGTTTCATTGCTTTTTTTTACATTTATTTTAAGTGATGAGAATAATTCTTTTTTAAGTAATTAGCCTACAGTTGTGAAATAAAAAAATCATACACACACAAAAAAAATATTATAAAACATCTACTTGAATATATATAAAAAAAAATAAGGAAGGAGTATCTGTATAGAAGCCGAAGTTTTTTCACAGATCAGAAGTCGGCGAGTCTCAGTCGTCGGATCTATTTATGGATTTCACGGTAATTAGTGATAAGACCGACTTACCCCCGCTTTTCAGTTTAAACTACAAATGTGTTTTTTTTTTTTTTTTTTTAATTTAACGAAACGAATCAATACATTGTGTTTGTTAGAACTTACAACTTTTTATTACTACCAACATTATTCTAATTGCTAAATCCTATAGTAATTACATTTACAGCACAGGCTTTTTCTCATTCATCTCAACTATAGGGATTTGATATTTATTCCAGTATTATATGTCGGATCTAACAAGTTTTTCATGATAATAATTATTATTATAATTATAATAATAATTATATAAGATTTTAATGAGAAGTTGATTATGAATTATGGTGCGGTGGTGATTTATTTTCTGTTATAGACTGTAAAGAAGAACTGTTCACATTAACAAAGATCTCGGGCGGATCCAGGCCATTTTTGAGTGGATGCAATATAACAAAGCGAAATGAAATATTCATTAATGGGATGGGTGGCATCGAACTCGAGTCAGTAGGAAACTATGGGTGCATATAAGCCATTTAAGATTAACAATATAAAGTAACGTTTTAAATTGATATATTAGCACAGGTGCATTTGCACCCACACCTCTACATTCGCCTGAACACTAATCATATTATATATATGATCACATTTACTTCAGTGTTTTGTTTATTTCAAATACAGTCTTTGTTAGTTTGTATCTTTCTTACATGTTGGTATGCAGAAAAGATAAGAACAAAACAGCTCAACCTCTGTTTTTGCATTAAGATCAACATAAAACTTATAACCGTATCAACCCTTTCGAGTTAGTAAAATGAATCACTTTATTAAATGGCTCGGACAACAACAATCCTCTCATGGTTCAAAAAAAAAAAAAAAAAACAATCCTCTCTATTTCTCTTTTAAAATTGATATTTAGTTTTTTTTTTAAACATGGACTCATGACAGAAAACATCCAGAGAAAAAACATTGGAGTACTAGATTTGTGTTCTCAGTGGTAAATTGATTATTCCATATCATGAATTGTTTCCATTTTATTTTAATGTTCTGTTTATCAACATCTTGAATTGATATATTTTAGTATAAATTATGATATTTGAAACTACTTTTTTAGTTTTGCCTAATGCCTTAAAAGTTAAAACCTTTTGGCACAGTTCTGATTATGCAAACGAGTCATTTTTATTTTTTATATTGTTATTTCTACTAATAAGCCATGTTTTTAAAATGGGTTAACTAGGCGAGCCAAGGAAGGTGATTTTGGCTAATCGTAAGTATATAAGTAGTGGATATACTATTAAGTTTCTAAGAAAAGTGCATAAAAGATTCGGTGATCTAATCCGAATTCGATTTACTTCCCAAGATTCGCTTTTATGCACTTTTCTTAGAAAAACAAGAACGACCCACACGATGACGATTTTCTTGATGTTGATCTCCGCCGTCGCGATAGTGGCCTCCGTCGTCTCCGGGTCGCTTGAGGAGACCGTGGCGTCGATGACAGCCACATTTAGGAATCCCCGTTTCTCTTCTCCCGGTACGATATCCAAGGCAAAGGTGAAAGCGTGGAGGGTTCTTGGGACTAGCTTGGCCCCCGCCGTTACCACCGTCTCCTCCGCCCTTCCGCCAGAGAATGCCTTCCACGAGTGGCCAGGCGCGTTCATCGGAGCCAGCGGTAACGAGCAGGCGACTCTGTTTCTTCCCTTTTACTACTCATCATCACCGTCTCCGAAATACAAAATCGTCGCCGCCTATCACATCGTACCAGAGAAACTCGTCTTCTCCGATTTGCTCTCGAAGGCAATGCTCTCCCGGCTCCCAACCCTTGTCCCAAGAACGTCAATCGTCGTCACCAACACTTCATATTCCCGTTTTACCCTCGACGATGTTTTGTTAGTGAAACCAGATATTTTCGTATCTTCATCAATAGCCATTCACGGCATTGATTCTCCGTTGGACTTCACCCGTAACGGTGGCTTTGGTGGCGGCGAGACAGATACATCGTATTTTCTCGTTATTGCAACAGCAATAGCTATTCGTTACATAAGATTTTTAGAGTTCCCGCATTGATACTTGCTTGTTCATTTTGTGCCGTTAGTTCTCCTAGATTCTTTGGTTTTGGTTTTCATTTCTTTAGGTTTCTTGGTGAGTCTCTGGGCTCCGAGAAATTTGACGCCAAGAAGTCTTGTAATGAATACAAAAAGAATAGTTCATATATTGAGTTTTTTTTTTGTTTGAGAAAAAAAATGAGAGAATGATTTTTTCATATTTTATTATTTTATTTACAGTGTAAAGCCAGAAAATCCATAAGACTTGCCCTACTAAAAGTACCACAACAATAAAGAGAAAATTTTAATAAAATTAAGGAGGGGGAACAAAAGACACTTCTTGATGATGGGATACCTTCTGAGTTCTGAGGCTCTTTCTTTTTCAACGGAAGAGACGAAATGAGTGGAAAAGATAACCTGAAATTAGTGATGGAGAAGTACCATAGAACATGCTATAGTTCCCATAGAATGATAAAAAGCCTCTCACGGAGTAAACAGGAGAGTAAAACTCAAGCAGTGATATCACATCCTTAACGCCAGTTTGAGGTTGAGAAAAAAATATATTTTCATATTTCGTTTGAGTGGTTCCCGGATAATTATTAATTCATGAGACTTAAACCAGATGTACAAAAATTACGGCACGTATGTGATACTCATCTAGGTACAATAATACATTAATGTTTTAAAATTCAAATTACAATATATGAAAAAATAATCGCAGTAAAACATATTAGGTATCAAATGAGTATTGTACAATAATATCAATGTTTTAATCAGAAACCTTACTTTTTAAACAATGGTATTTCTGTAGTACTTCAGAGTTTAAAGTTATTTTCTTAAATATACTTCTCAAATAATATCAAATAATAGTATTGAGATAAGGTAATTACAAAGTTTCATATGCGATTAATAGTTTGAGGCTATTGATAGTTTGATAGCTTTTGAATTTCTAACTCCATGCTAATTAATTAGATAGCTATTAAATTCACATAAAACATATTACAAACATGTTCCATTTAACAACCGAACCCGTAAAAGATCACAAACAGTCTCCATTCAGCATTATAATTCCGGTGACCCATTTTGTAAGATTCACGGTTGGAGTTCGATTCTTTACAACCATGCTGATAATTTATATATCAATATTAATGGTTTTATTTTAAGTCGAAATGCTAGAATACTATGATTGAGACTCCCAACTTGTATGGCAATGTGACAGCATGGCAAGAGGCATAAACATTCCTTTTAAGTAAACGAGATTAAAGTTAGAGGTTGCTCCCTTATTTCTCGAGATTGCAAAGTTGATTTTTTTTTCGCTCGAGAACCATATACATGCCATATTGGGATATCTAACCAAGTTCCTCTATTTCACAATTCTACGAATTTTAGAACCTTAAATGTAATAGAAAATTAAAGAAAAATGAGTGGACCCTGTGCTTTTGTTATAGAACCGGGCATGTTGTTATCAATTTTACTCTAAAGATTACTTTTTATTTATTCTAACTGTGAGAGAATGCATGAGAGACTTGCAATTTCTCTTTCCAACATGTTCCCATAAATGTAAAATTTTAAAAGAGTCCTAAACAAGAATCAAACCAAAAATCATAGACAAGAAAAATTGAAAAAAAATAATAATTCTGAAACAGGAAAAAAAAGAGCTAAGGAATTAAACCATGTCAGCTTCTGCACTAAGGCCATATATAAGATACGTCAAGAGAATTTTACCCTCAGATTCGCGACAATAATTCCTATATTTGCTATATTGCCCTGGCCACAGGTAACCTTCAAGCTTGTTCCGCAAGTCACCGTATGGGTATCCCCTATGATTCTTCCACTTCCCCCAGAGCTGAACATAATCTCGAACTTTCTCTTGTAGGAATGTAGATCGGTCCATGTAATTGGTAGATGTCGAAAGTGGATATTTCTTCTCTGCTTCTTCTACCCATCCTCCTATCATCTCTCTGAAAATACTAAAATAGTCAATCTCTGAATCTATATCGATTTGTTTTTCGTTGGCAAACGGATTAACACAATATCTTGCCCTGGAAGATTCAACCAAAAGGAAGAGGATGAAAACTTTTATTGCCAGAGACATCGTTGGGAGATGGATTAATTAGGATTTGTATGTTCACGCCTGATGATAGATGCTTGTGATTATATAATAGAAGCTTCTCCGCTTCGTTTTCAATTGGGATTAGGGTTTTAACGTTTAGCTAATTAAATTTGGCCAACTCTTTCACGTATATATATATATATATCTTTTGTGCATTGCTATCTATTTCAATTGGGATTAGGGTTTCTGACGTTTAGCTAATTAAATTCGGCCAACTCATTAATGTATTGCTAATATATATATAGTATCTTTTTGTGTATTGCTAATTCTTATAAAAAAAATTATCAGTAATAAAAATAAAATAAAAATTATTTATTTTTGTTTGCTAAGGGTTCTTTAGTAATAATCTGATGAATTTATGTCATTTAAATAATCTCAAACAAAAATTAGAAAGGGAAATCGAGAAGAAATCGATAGTAGTTCGATACATTTGTGAATCACTTGACTTGATTGCTTATATCTTCGGTTGTTTTAGAAGAGATAAATTCATAAAGTTAAGGCTATTAATAATCATCTAAGAATATATTTTACTTAAAAGTTTTTTTTTCATATTGAAGAACTTATTTTTAAATGTTAAGACGCTTAAGAAAAATTACAAGAAATTTAATAATCTTCTAAACAGCTTCCTGATCCACCAAGATCATTCAAAATTGTCCAAGTAAAATTAATGGAGGAAAAAAATTCCTATGTTTTTATGATATTATATAATTTCCAAATATTTAATTCATAATTTTCAAACAACAAAATAAATGGAGTTTATTTGTAAATTTTAAAAATAAAAAGTATTAATAATAAAAGAGAAATAAATTATATTTTGGAGTAAAAAATAAATAAATTGAAACACAACTTAACTCCATTTAGAAGTTATTCTATTTTAGAGAAAAAAAGTGGAGATATATATACATTGGAGAATGGAGATGGTCTCATTATGTTACGTATACCAATATAAAATATTCAATTCATAAAGTTTATTTATAAATTTTAGAAATAAAAGATATTAATACTAAAATAGAAATAAAATCTATTTAGAACTTTTTTAAAATAAAAAATAGAGATATAAATTGAAACAGTGACTCTATTTAAAAATTATTCTATTTTGAAGAAAAAAAATGAAAATATATATTGGAGATGGTCTTAATCTGTTACATATACCAATATAAAATTTCTTCTATGTTTGCTTGCTCCATAACCACGTACACAAATTAATTATCCTCTACTTACAACCCACTTCTTCTATCATCATTCCTAAACCATTTAACCTACTTATTCCCTACTTTCATGTAAAATGTAATGATCGTGATGTATTATTGGTGAGAGGTGCCTTTTCTTTTCACTGCTATGTCACTTTCTTCAACTTCAAAAATCGTTCATTAATTATTAAAATAATACCCCATTATATATTGTATAAAACCGTAGCACATTACATGTTCTCAAACCACACATCCTAAATCATTGCATCGATCATAGTCCAAAATGCAAATCCCAATGAGTTTTCTTATTCTCCTATTTTTTTCCATTTTAATAAAGGCTAAACAAACGAAAAACACAGTATATCTTCCTCTTGTGCACGTTAAGAAGGCAAACTATTTTGATGACAAAGTTCTTTCTCCTCCCCTCTTGTCCCCCGGTGCAAATAAAGGGCTAGCGTTTATGGCTCAGATTTATTTTGGTTCCCCTTCTGTAATACAATATCTTCACGTGGATACGGGAAGCAATTTAACATGGACTCAGTGTTTCCCTTGTTCCCACTGCTTTGCCGACCACATATATCCAAAATATTGGCCAGAAGATTCAACAACATACCGTGAGGCATTCTGTGAAACAACAACAAATGATACGAATCCAAGGTTTAGCTATTCTTATTCAAGTGGAATATGCTACTACGAACTCAGTTATGAAGATGAAAATGGACTTCGAGGCACACTTTCAGAAGAAACGATTACCATGCAAACGCTTGATGGTGGGTTCAAAGAGGTCCACGACGTGTATTTTGGGTGTAACGATCAAGCAGTAGGTGACAATTTTATCGGAATGGGCATATTAGGCCTCGGGTTTGGAAACTACTCCCTCGTACAGAAATTCGACTCCAAATTCTCGATTTGATTCGGTAGGATAAGTGAAAGTACACCAAGCCATAACTTAATATTTGGTGATGGTGCAGTAATGCAAGGACATCCCACCATAGTTGATATCACGAATGGTGATTATATGTTTCAACTGGAGTCCATCCTTGTCGGCGAGAAAAAAACTTTGGACAACCCAATCCAGGTATATCTTGACACAGGCACGTTCATATCTCACTTCTCACCAGGTTTGCATAAACTGATCGTGGATAAGGTGACTGAGCTAATAGGAGGAGATAGATTTACATCAGTTCGATATAGCTCATTACTATGCTACGTAGTGGAAGCTCAAGAAATACCAGATCAAATCGATATCACTTTCGTATTTGCCGGAGGAGCCGAATTGAGGATGGATGTCCGGAGTTTATTCCTACCAAATGGGTCCCCTGGAACTTTATGTTTGGCGATCAATAAAAATATTAACAATAAACAACGAATCATCATCGGAGCTGTAGCTATGCAAGGCTATAACTTTGGCTACGACCTAAAAGAAGAAGCAGTTTACTTTCAAAAACAAAATTGTAACATGTAGTGCCTGGATACAAAACAGTTTGTTTATTTTAAGTTAATTAGAGCATCTTCATCATCTCTACTCTAGGCGCTTTGATCGGAAGCTAGGATAGAAAACACTCAATTTGTTTTGGCCTTTTTAGGTGAGAAGTAAGAACTATAGTGAAGGGTCAAATTCCTTTATATTATGCACCATACGGCTCACCTTCTTTCTTATGGACTCAATTAACATTTTGACATGCGTTTATTTCTTTACTTGGCCAATGTTGTTGATCAATTCATTATGCATGACGAACAAGTTTAAGGATACTAGCCTTAATTGAGAGAGAAAAGGAGTTTGAAGATCCATAATCATGTCAAACATGAAGAACAAAAGAAAACCATAAAAGAGAAAAAAAAAAAAAAAAAAAAAAAAAAAAACAGAGGAGAAGGTTGGCGAGAAGAACAGAATTAAGAATGACTTTGGTATCGGATCTTCTTGCACGACTAGAAACCCTATATCCCATGAACTAAGAACAGAAATATATTATTCTCTCAGAAGTCAGAACCAATATCCCATGAAAACTATATATTTTTTTATTTTAATCTTCCAAAATCCACAATCAAAAGGCACAAGAAAAAAAACCCTAGGAAAAATTAGCCAAAAGAATCAAGGACTTAGTGTGAAATCATATGGACTAGTCAGACCATGTATCATGTAGATCAAGAGATTTGTAGCTTCAAATTCAGGACAATTATCACCTTGGTGTGGCCACAGCACACCTATCTTGTTCCGCAAGTCACGGTATGGATATCCCGAATAACGCTTCCACTTGTTCCATTGCTCAACATAATCTTGAGCTTTGCGTTGCAGAATAAAAGATCTGTCTAAATAACCTTTGTGGTTTGTATTTTTCCAAAATGGATATCTCTCGTTTGTTTCACGTATCCATCCTTCAATCATCTTTTTGAAGTATCTGCAGTAGTCAATAGTAGCTGACATACACACATCTCGATCTTGTTCTTCTTCGGAATCCTGATCTGGAATATGTTTTGCAATGGAAGATCCAATCAAACAGAAGAGGATAAAGAGTTTTGTGGCAAGAAACATTGGCGGAGAGAACAATTAACTCTCTCTCTTTTTTTGGTTTTTTTTCTTTTCTTGATTCTGTTCGTCTTTTCTGGTTTGATATATAATAGAGATTAGAGAACCATCTCAACTCCTTTTTCTTTTGGGAATTGGGATTATGGTTTCTACTTAACTCACCTCATTTTGCTTATATATATATATATATATATATATTTGTTTTCTTTCCGTAGGACATATATATATAATAGATAAAGATAAAGATAAGAAGATATATACAAATAAAAGGATTTGTTCTCTTGTTACCGAAAAAATCTTGAATTCCTGGTATTGTTTGTAGAACTCAGCTTTCATTGGGTTATGTAAATATGAATGGGATGTTAAAAATGAAAAACAAAAAAAAAAAAAACACATAGAATCAAAAAGCATGAAATATGAATGGGATGTTAAAAATGAAAAACAAACAAAAAAATACATAGAATCAAACGGTAGTTGATACATTTGTTTTTCATTTTAAGTTTTTGTGTGCTCTCTCCTCACACTTTTCGACCACCCCTAATTTTTATAGGCTATTATCATTATTTGGACTAATAAAGTATTCAATTAGATGCAAATATTGAGATAAATACTAATTAGATATAGATGATTATGTATCTAGCTAAACTCTATTCTATTAGGAATCTAATTATTTCTAAACTAGTGTCTATCCTATGATGTTACTCTCAGACCGATGATGAGTCTCCAACTACTTGCACTTCTCGCCGCCGCTACACTAATCGCCGTTGTCTCAGGCACGGTGGAGGAGACGAGCCTTAAAATCATTGATGCACTATCCCACGTCTCCTATGAAGAATGGTCACCAGTTTTCATAGCAACTAACGATCGTATACGTGGTGAGGTTCTCCCATCTACCCTATTCATCCCAAACTCCTCCGTCAACATGGACGGTGACAGACAGAAGGTGGTTGCATACCACATTGTGTCTGAGAGGCTTGAGTTTGATGATCTTCTCCTCAAGTCAAGTCATTCGAGACTGCCGACTCTTCTCACCGGCTCCTCGATTCTGGTAACGAATAATTCTGCTTCTGGTTTTAGCATCGACGGAGTTCTCATCGTCGAACCTGACGTGTACGTCGATTCCTTCATGGCCATTCACCGCATTGCATATCCGCTGGATTTCACAACTTACGGCAGCGGCGAATCTGAGGCCTAAAATCGAAGTGGCCACTCTCTTTTTGCGTTAACGTTCAAAAGTTTTTTTATTCTCCCATAAAACTGATGACAATGACTGATCTTGTATTAGTTTGTTTCGTTTTCTTATTGCAATTTCCAAATAAATTTATCATATTTCCATTTTTTTAGATATGCAAATGGTTGTTTCAACGACTTCCACCGATCGTTCGAACATAATCTGGAAATAAAATCTTCATTTTCTCGACCTGTTTTAATAATAAAAAGTCCACGAAACAATGATTAAGCCTAGTACTTGTATTTATAATTGGAATTAAATCCTTAAAAATAATAATTGCGACGAAACAAAAAGAAGAAAAACAAACTAGGCGATACCAACAGAATTGTTCTTGCATGGAAATGTTCCAATAATGCAAACTTCTCAATAATGATAAATAAAGTTTTGAAACTGATTTGAATTTTTTTGTTAAAAACAGAGAGAAGCTTTAAATAAAACCGATAAACCCAAGTCCCCATCTCCTCCTAATGCCACAACTTCATACAGAATCCGGAGTGAACAACCGCAGACGCACCGCCGCCGATCGAAGAACGCTTGATCGAAACGCGGTCGTTGAAAGTATGAATGAGCTGCTCAGCTAAAGCCATGGGATCATCAGTAAAGGTATCGATGAATATCTTCACAACTCTCACCTCTTGTGGCGTCGCTCTTAAGCTATACCAAGTCAGAAACTTCTGTCTGAAATCCTTATCAATGTGTCCCGAACACTCGAGCTGTCTTATGATCTTCACACAATGCTCTAATCCACTCTCTGTTCCTCCGTTTGCTGAATGATGGTCGCCGTTATTACCGTTCTCTTTAACCGATTTCCCGTTTCTAGCTTGACGGTTCTTGGTTTGGTCTGACCTGAAGGGAGTAATTGGCAAACTCGCATCTGAGCTGTTTCGAGTACTTACAAGATTCGTCGTAGTAACCGGGACCGGAGCTTTGCCGTTCTTAACCGGAACAGCTTCTTCTTCCTCATCCAACAACACTATCTGTTCAACGTTTTTCTCAATCTGTGCAGTCTCTGATTCGGTTGTCCTTTTTGCTCTTTTCGCAGCGTTTTCCTCAGTCGAAGGAGAGTCCTTTTTGTCCTTCTGCGATAGGTTCTGAGGAACAATGTACCCGTTGTTGGATTCAGCTTCAACGGAAGAAGGATTCGAAGACAATGTGCTGCAATTTGTGAGAGGGCTCTCGCTTCTTTCGATTACAGAGGAGCAATTCGCTCCTTCTTCAGCGCTACGCGTCAGAACATTGATTTCCTCCACGCTCAGCTCTCTGGTTCCGCTAAAGGACACAACTTTGAAGCAATACTCTGAAGCTGGAGCTAATCCAGAGACTACGAATCTTGTGTTTGGAGTAAACAGTGTGCAAGTAGATTTCTCCGGGTAGTCTTTCTCGGAGACCTTACGATGCCAAATACTGTAGTGAACGATGTTTGCAGGTGAGCCGACTTCATTAGAGGCGAGAACCACTGTGAGCGAAGTCGCGTTAACATCCTCGAACCTGATCTTGGTTGATACTGTGGTTGCTGTATCTGCGGATATCTCATTGCTCAATCCATAAGAACAATCTAGCAAACAAAAAAAAAACAGAGAATCACCGTTATTGAATCATATTTTAAAAACATCACTCAGTAATCAAATCATTTAGGGTACTAAAAAGCTGACCGTGCTGCATCTTGGAGCAGCGAAGTGAAGGCAATGCAGCAACTTGAGGAGGTCCAATTTCTAGAGTTTCGAGAGACTCAAGAGAGTCTAGAGCAGAAGAGCAAAGTTTCTGCACATCGGGTCCAGATTGAAGTCTGTTCACGATTCCTCTACCTATTTTCATCGGGAGACCAGTGAGAGGACCCACATCAGCTTCAAGACTAGTCACAGCTTCATCCACAGCCTCACACAGGTTTTGGTATTTAGTCGAGCCCTTTAAAAGTTTCTGCACTAAGAAAAGACGGTAACAAAGCACATCTACCCTTCTAGTTTCTTTAGCAATCGTCAACTGCTTCTTCCAACATTCAAGCAAGCTGTTTGGTTTACCGCAAGAGACACAGTAGAAGCAGCATCCCTCACTTTGCTTGTCTTTAGCAAGACCGGATTTTTCAGTCTTGAAAGCACATTCAAGATGACATGAGAACCCGCAAGAATCACCTTCAAATGGAGGATCTGAGCTACATGTCAACCAAAGACTAGGATCTTTGTTATCATCATACTTGCGACAAATGCAACAAGAACACCTTCTGCAAAACGAGTCTTCTTGTCTCATTATGGCCCGGCAAGCCAAGTTTTTGCAGTAGATTGTAGTATTCTCCTCACCTGACCAATTTCTATTTCCATGTTAGTATGCACCAAAAAGTTGACAACTATAAACCAACAATAAAAAAAGAAGAAGAAGAAGATTTATACCTTTAGTATTAACCGAGTTGCAGCTCCCTGAGGCATTGTTGCTCGTTGGAACCACATAACGAGTAGGATTATCGATCTTCCTTTGTCTCTTTGTGTTTCTCTCAACAGGCAAACAATCAGAATCTATCTTCTTCCCTCCTTCACACTCTCCAGACTTTTTCTCCGATACAATTTTCAAAAGGGTCTCGATGATCTTGACTTTAGTCAAACCAGTATATTTTCGTTCTTTTCCCATTTCTGCGCATAAGATCTGTAGAATCTCTTGGCGGCTCCATGCCTGCAAGACTTCAGAAGCTAGGTGTGATTGCTTCGACAGCTCATAAACAAGCTGTCTCTTCTCATCAACACTCATTTCACTGCATTTCGATGAGTCACCTGCAGCTCCTGTACAGAAGAACAAAAAGGATGTGAACATTACTATTGAAGGCAATGGAGAACAATGTCATAATCAGAAACACACAAATGATCCAGGAATCTACCTTGGAAGCTTACACAAATGATTATACTTTAGGCAAGCTTATTTTCCCAAATTGAGAACAATGATTCCAAAATTCAAAGTCAGTGCAACGGCAAAGCTAATTTGGAGTTTTCAAACTAAGAAACTTCAACTATCACCACAGGATAACAACAATGTTGAGGTCGGATCAACCAAACCGTGACTCGAGTGACATCAAGGAGTCAGAGAGAAACCAAACAACGTGCTAAAGCAAAGATTATGTTCGTTGAGAGCAAGATCTCAAAGCAAGCCATCAAGAATAAGTCTTACGTACGAGAATCAAAGCCTGATTCTTTTTTAAGAATTAGAACCCACCACATTCATCAATCAGTTACAGTAGTGACATCTCACGGAATCTTATTCTATACAGAACGAAGCTTTTTGACGAAAGATCAAATTAATTATCAGAAAGGAAAAAAACCCAATTTATCAACCAATGATAATGGTGAAAAACAGAGAATATGGAGTTAGAACCAATCAACCAGAAAAGTGAAGACCCACCATCAGAATCACCAATGAGAAACACTAAAACAACTTCTAATAGAAACCAAAAAAAGAGATCATTTTTGATGAAAAACTTAAGAACCCACTAATCTTAGATCAGTAGCAAACCAGTGAATACTACTACAGTCATGTTGAAGATGAAGAAGAAGAAAAAAAGTCTCCTACTTTCAATAAATTGAATAAAATAATTAAAAACTTGAACAATCCAAATCAGCATCCAAAGCTTCTTCATGAGCTAAAAAAGAAAAGAGTAAATAAAAAACCAAGAAATTTGAACATTATATAGGGAAAAACAAAGAGACACGAATTTCGATAAATCTTAAGCAACCAATGAAACCCAGAATCCAAAAGTAAAAGTACCATCAAGAGAAGAATCCATGAGCCAAGAACGTTAGAGAACTAATCACACCCACATTATCATAAGAACCACCGAAAAATTCTTCAAAGCCTGCGATGTGAAGAAAAGGACAAAAAAAGTTAGGGGAAGAAAATAAAAAAAAAAAAACTTCTGGGTGCGAAATAAAACAGAGAAAATAGATTGGACAGAGAGAGAGAGATAGATCGGGAGGAAAAGGAGGAAAGAAAAGACAAGAGAATAAGAAAGAAGGCTTACCCAATAAGGGAAGCTATTAGTCGAGCAAAGATGAGAGAATAGGAACTTTTCTCTCTCCCTCCTCGGAAAAGTTCCGGCGAACGGAGAAACCGGAGAAGAGAGAGAGAGAGAGTCGCTGTGTGTAAGCGAGGAAGAGAGAGAAAGCAAAGAGAGAGGATGGGACTATGGGAAAGGCCTATAGAGAGATGAGGAGGAGATGCAGTTTATGGTGGGCCCCAAAAAGGGTTAAAAAGTTTTTATTTTATTTTTGTTTCTATTATTTTTTAACCTCTTTTGTTCACGTTACTTCTGTGATTTCGTTTTGGGGTAACGTTTCTTACTTTTTATTATTTTTTCAATTCTTTTTTGGTAGTTAAGTGTTTCTTTGAATTTCGATTTCCCTGTAAATAACACACACAAAAACACTAAACACTAATTCTAATACATAGAAGATAATCACCATTATGTATTTGGAATTTAACTTACACAACCATTTTAACTGATTTTGAGCTTAGATGATATATGGAAATGGTAGTAATAATATATACTATGAAAAACCAACTAAGAACTATATAAGGTTTTATTATGTGCATATTTGTAACTCGTAAAAATTTAAAATAAGAAATTAGTTCCAAATACTTTTTTAACTGTAGGAAATTTTTCATAGTTACTCAAATTTATAACAACTTTTTTATCATAAAACTTCAAATAATGAAATGTCATCAATCATCATGAATATAATAATTGATTCAACTACTATATTTTCCATATCTAATTCTTTTATAACAAGATATAAATTGGAGTAATATATTTTATGATGATTCATTGAATTGTTTGGGAATGTGGAGCTTTCATTTGATTTCTTGTAAATGGAATTTGTTCCCAAATAAAAACATACATTTCAAACGCTGATCAAAGAAAGAGTGAGTATTCTTTCGGTCAAATCATAAGAAAGTCACACAAATGCCATCTCCTTGTATAGTTTTGT